ATATATATATATATTTAAAATTTTGAAAATCCATTAGGGCTTATGCCAAAAACGCTCCATCCAAATTGACGATCCTCATCCCCTGGACAGTGATCACTGATTCGTGGTTTTCCTGTGAATAAACCCAAGTTCTCAATCTGACGGACGATAACAATGGAAGTGCCTAACTTCGGATCGCTCCGCCATCCAACGGCTCAGACCAATCGATAATCCTCATTAAATTCCCTAGTTCATCTTCTTCCCGCTCTCGGAAAGAAAAACAGCTCCACTTCGTCGAAGCTAGGAAACGATGTCGGGCCGAGGCAAGGGAGGTAAGGGCTTGGGAAAGGGTGGAGCCAAGCGCCACCGCAAGGTTCTGCGCGACAACATCCAGGGCATCACCAAGCCAGCGATCCGTCGTCTCGCTCGCCGCGGTGGCGTGAAGCGCATCAGTGGCCTCATCTACGAGGAGACGCGAGGTGTGCTCAAGATCTTCCTTGAGAACGTCATCCGCGATGCTGTGACCTACACTGAGCACGCTCGCCGGAAGACCGTCACAGCCATGGATGTTGTTTATGCCCTCAAGCGTCAGGGTCGCACCCTCTATGGCTTCGGCGGTTAGCTTCTGCGGTTTCGTGCGTTTCTTAGGGTCTGTGATAACTTTCTCTGTCGTTTGTTTGTTTTTTTTTTTTTTTTTTTTTTTTTTTTGGGTAGCGGATTTTGATGTAAGCTGTATTGAAGCTAATCCTGTTTTGCGATGTTTGGGTTTCTTTTGGTGTTTTTGGGGATTTGGCTGTTGTTGTTTAGAAGTAGGGATCTTTATGAAATGCTTCCTGCTCTGAATGGCAAAGAAAGTTAATTTGCATATTGAATTCGCCATGAGATGTTTGTTTGGATGTTTAGCCTTCAGTTTCTATGGGGTGTGTATAAAAAAAATACAATTATTTTGTGGTTTGCATGAATACTTTGATTTAGTTGATTTGGTGTGATTTATTGAGCTTATTGTTTATTATATTTCATTTATTTGTATTGTAAATATTGTGATCATCGATCATACTTGTTTGAATATCTTTATGTATATGTATTTATTTTAGTTCATTACGATCGGGTTTGTAATTGCATAAGCTGTTTGTGATGGCTTGATGCCTTCTTGGCAGTATTAAAGTAATCATCTTAGATTTATTTGATATATATAGTAGCACAAACCCCACCCATACCTACTACTGTAAGGGTACAATATGTGCTTGTATTAGGACTTCTTCCTATAAATAGGTTAGTTTATTTCGTGGATAAAGGTTATAGAATTTTACTGTTCAATACGATACCCTCCCTCCCTCAATCCCCATCTTTTGATTTGTGACGCTCTACTTTTTTGGGCGTGTCTCATATATGTTTGAATTTAACATTTTAAAAGATACGGTGGTATGGTGAGTGTACTCTTATTTTTAACAAGAAGAGAAATACAAAGATGATAGAGAAATGGGAGCAACTAGGAGTAGCTAACATGGTTCCCCTATGAGGCAACATGGAGGAACACAAAGGAATGCATGGGGTTGAGTACTCAAATAATGAAACAGGTGAGGGGCCATATCGCCAAAATCCTAAGAGCTGTTGTAGCCCTAATAGGAGCTTGGGCCTCATAAGAGCATAATCCATCTTAGGTGGTGCCAGTGCATAATGGTTGGAAGGCGAACACCTTTCCTGAGGAAGTTGATGACTATCAATACCAAGGCAACGTGAGATCCACAAATGAAAAAACAGCAAAGCGCATTGAAAGGCCATGAAAATCGAAAAATCCTTTCTCCCTCCAAAATATTTGAAGCGGAGCATTTAGAAAAATTTAAATTACTATCCTTGGAAGCCTATAGAGGGCTTTAGGTGGTTCCGGGGGCTTTTGGTCGAGAGCATCAATAATTTTATTGATTTCAAGAGGTTCTTGGCGCAATTGGCTAGCGCCTGGAGATCCACCAAGAGCATCCAATCCTTGTGCCAACTCAAGAAATGAGAACAGGAGAGACTTTGTACATTCATCACACTTTTTTAGTAGGAAATAATAGAGGTAAACAACCTCGAAGTTGAAGCAATCATAGTCGCCTTGAAATAGGTTATGAGATTTGAGAGATTTTCCTATGACCTGAGTATTAACGAGCCCCAAGGCTCTCTAAAACTATTAGAGAGGGCCATTAAGCATATACTAGTGGAGGAAATCACTTCTAAAGGAAAGAAGGCTGCCCAAACTAGAAAAGAGCTACCTCCGGCTGCGAGTCAAAGGGATGGAGAAATAGGCCACATGTCCGACATTGTTTCGAAGAAGGCCAATCCTCTTGAAATAATGGAGAAATTAGTTGGTATCACAATCACAACAAATAAGCGAGATTATGAGTCCCTTGGCCACTCCGGTATTATGAGAGGCCAACATAATGCTATGAGCAATCATTCTGAGATTATGAAGGCAGGCGAGCTACTTTTCTGAGGGTGTCAATGGCAGAAATTGTGGATGTTATTCAACGCAAACAACACTTCAAGGAGTCCACACCAATTAAAGTAGGAGGCTTTCTTCGAGACACGAGAAAATATTGCAAATACCATCGGGATTAGGACTAAAACATGGAGGAATGTAGAGACCTCCAAAATCTCGTCAAGGAGTTAATTAAGGTAGAAAAGTTGAAAGAGTTCATGGCCACATGACACTCGGGCCAATAATAAGGGAAGATGCCAGTGTTGGAGGTCCTGCTTGTGCTCGCTCGAACACATGTCATCCATATCGCTGTGATAATCCCATGAAGATTATGCTCATGTTTTCCTCCCCCCTACCTTCTGTACTCATAAAAACGTTTTGGGTTAAATTTATTTTATGCTCTCTTAGCAATGTCAAGTCTACCACCTTTTTATTCGTTAAAAATGCATACAAAATAAAAGAGTGCCACACTAATAGAAGATAAAACATTTAAGATTGGAAAAATCTTGGGGCTGGGGGAAGACAGAAACAATTTGGGGATTTGGAGAAAAGTAGTTTGTCAGTTGCGGCGCTAAGATCGCTCATTTGAGCACTAAAAGAGGATTGTCAACCACAGCGCCAAGATCGTCAGACTAAGCATTAAAACAAGATTGACAACTAGAACACAAAGATTACTCGATTTAGCAATAAAAGAAGACTGTCAACCGCGACTCCAAGAGCCGGACTGAGCATTAAAAGAATGTCGGTCGCGTCACAAGAATTGCCCGGCTTAGTACTAAAAGAAGACCGTCAGCCGCGGTGACAAATTGTCTAGCTAACATTAAAAGAAAATTGCCAGTGACAACACCAAGATTGTCTGGTTGGGCACTAAATGACGACTATTAGTCGAGGCATCAAGATCACCCGACAAACATTAAAGAAGATTGCAAGTTGCGATTCAAAGATCGTCTGGCTGAGCACTAGAAGAAAGCTCCAAGTTCGCCCAACTACGCACTAAAAGTAGAATACCAGTTGCAGAAGATCACCCGATTGAGAATTGAAAGAAGACTTCTAGCTACAGTTCTAAGATTGCCTGACTAGGGAATGAATGAAGAGTGTCAGCCGCAATTCTAAGATAAATCGACTTGGCACTAAAAGAAGATTGCCAACCGTAGTGCCAAAATTTCTTGACTAAGCATTGAAAGAACATTGTCAGCTGCAGCGTCGAGATCATTTGACTGAGCATTAAAAGATGACTGTCAACCGCGGCACCATGATCTCCAGACTAAGCATTAAAAAATGACTACCAGTCGTGACGCCAAGATTGCCCGACTGGACACTAAATGAAGACTATTAGCGACACGCCAAGATTGTCAGCCACAGTGCCATGATCGCACTAAAAGAAGGCTACCAACCACACGCCAAGATTGTCGGCTAAGTGGTAAAAAAAAAAGACTACCAGCAACGACGTCAAAATTGACTGGCTGAGTGTCAAAGGAAGATTGCCAACCACGACGCCAAGATCGCCTGACTTAACATTAGATGAAAGTGTTAGCTGCGATGCCTAGATTACCCGGACAAGCACTAAGTGAAGCCGACCAAGTATGGTGACAAGATCACCTCGTAAAGCCTAGATCCAAAGATGATCAATTGTAACTCTTTAAGATGGGCTGCCTAAAAAAAAAAAAAAACAAAGCATCATACTTAGGCCCCGTTTGGGGCAGCTTAAAACAGTGGGCGCCGTTTTCAGGCGTTTTGAAAACGCCACCTTACTGTTTGAATAACACGTTTACCCTGCGTGCTGAAAATCTCGAATTTTGTTTTAGGAATGACGCTGCCCGCGGGATCATACCGGCGGTCCGCGTTGCCTTGTCGCATTTTCTCTTGAATTACTCTGCTACTCTCGCGATCGAACCTCTGCTCTTGTGCCTCTCGGATTCAGCATTTCTTCCTCCTTCATTCGCGATCGAGCTCGCAATCTCGCTCCCTGCTTTGTTCGCGTGCTCCCTGCTTCGTTCGCGATCGAACTGTAGCCCTTTCCTTCCTCCTCTCTGATTCGCTATTCTAGGGTTTCCTCCTCTCTGAAGTCGACGACACCGAAGCCCTTTCTTCCTTCCCCTCTATGCCAAAACTTTTCAACTATTCTAGGGTTTCCTCCTCTCTAAAATAATTCTCGCTTCCTTTTCAGTCTAACATGAGCTATTCGCGAACAACGAGCCGTTTTGACAGCCATAGTTATGATGCACATTTTCATCTAATTAGTTGATACACATATTATGTCTTATTTTTTCTCAACACTTAACAAGTTCAAATATAGCCAAATGTGCTATTATTTTAGCTCTAAGTTATAATATTAAATTACCTTGTTTGCATTTTTTTTATTACATCAGCGAGCAAATAAATATGGAGGATGAAATTTTAAATAAATGTTATTGATTCCTTTGTGTGAAAGATTTTTCCCCTTACTGATCTATATAAGTCTGTATGTAAAGTTATTAACTGTCCAATTTAATGGATTGGTCTTATGTTAAATTTCTTCTATCCAGTGTCTTTTAAGAATAATGAAGTTGCTTAAATATTTGTTTGATGTGATCGGATATGTTTTAGTATTTAGTATTTCTTTTATCAAGTGCATTTTACTTTTGTATGTGTAACATATTTGTTTGATGTGATCAGATATGTTTTAGTTATATAAATATAAATCAACTTTTTTGTATTTTCTTGTCTGAATATTTTTCTTTAATTTTGTTGAGAACATAACAAATTCCGCTGCACTGATTATTTATTTAATTAAAAAAAAATTACAAATAAGTTGTTTACAGAACGCACTAACTAAACAGCTAAACAGCTTATTCAAAATATGGGCAGAATGGTCAATTTTCCAGGATCAGCTGTTTTTCATAAGCGCCAACCAAACAGCCAGACGGCTTATTCGGATCAGCTGCTCATCAGCAGATTATCAGGATAAGCTGCTTATCAACAGAAGCTAGATAAGCTGCAGCTGCCCCAAACAGACCCTTAGTTAAGCTTTGGTCGAGTTGTGACAACCCAAATCGAGCAGCAGCCACTCATCAAATGACTCGCCACACAAGATCCACATAGAATATGAAGCAACAAGACTCAAAGGTACAAATCATAAGGTACAAAAGACAAGCTGCCTTATCACAAAGAAAAACATGTAATTTTTATAATCAAGGAATTGTTACATTTACAAGTATTAACTATGAGAATTATATACAAAGAGCACTGTTTTAAAAAGAAAGGAAGTGAGAAG